TATCCCTGTAAAAACCCCAGGAGGGAGGTGTCATTATCGTCCCCATTTTACGGATGAGGAAACTGAGGCATATGGAGGTTAAGTGACTTGCCCAGGATCACATAGTTAGGAATTGTCTGAGGCTGGATTTGAACTCATCTTCCTGACCTAAAGTACAGTGCGATATCCACTGTATAAACCAATTGCCTCTAGTTTGGGGGAGGAAGCAGACCTTGATGGATGAGTCAAATTCAGACAGAAAAAGAGGAGAGGGCATGTTAGGGAGGATGTCAACAAGCTGAAGCATATCTAGTCTCTCTTCTATGTGGGAGCCCTTCAAACACTATCATGCTCCAGTTTTATCAGGAACTGGAAAGTAGTTTGTGCTGGAACAGTCAAGGAGGATGTCCTGGAGAAAAGTTGTGTGTGTGTGTGTGTGTGTGTGCATATACATACATATTTATGAGAGAAAGAGAGAGAGAGAGAGAGAGAGAGAGAGAGAGTCTGTTGGGGAATAGACTTCGCTGGATTCAATGGGGCTAGACTTAATAGCTTTTTTTTTTTTTTTGGCTAGGCAATGGGGTTAAGTGACTTACCCAGGGTCACACAGCTAGTGAGTATCATGTGTTTGAGGCCGGATTTGAACTCAGGTCCTCCTGACTCCACGGCCAGCGCTCTATCCACTGTGCCACTTAGCTACCCCTTAATAGCTATTCTTCAGTAACTCCCAAAGGAAACTTCTCCTATTCCTTCCTAGTGGAAAGAATTGAAGAGTATTGAGCAAATCCTTGTCATTTCCTGGAGGGAAGGGTTTGTGTTATGTTCTCCCCTGTAGATCCTACATCAATTCACACAATTCTCTGCCCATAGTAAGTGCATAATAAATTTGTGTAGAATGAATGAAAGCCTTGAATGAAATGACAGGGCTTCTGAGGAACGTAATACAAGCACAGGGCATTTGTCTGGACCTGTGACTTCACCAGTACAGGGAGCTACTCAAAAAGAAACCCCCTCTGCTTCTACCAGGGCAGATCCACAGCTATTCTGAAATGTATGGTCTTAGAGAATTACCTGCGGCATTGAGAGGTGAAGTGATTGGTTCAGGGTTATACAGCTAGAGGTAGGACTCGAACCCTGGACTTGCTATCTCTACGACCAGCTCTTATCCCCTATGTTACGCTGCCTTGCTGCTACAGTGAATATAAACATACATTATGTATTACATAGGTAGGAGTGTTGGGAGGCTCAAATGATATAATGGACGTAAAGCACTTTGCAAACCTTAAAGTGCTATATAAATGCCTGTTACTATTATTACTATTAGTAATAGTAGTAGTAGTAGTAGTAGTAGTAGTAGTAGTAGTAGTAGTAGTA